TCTTTCCCTCAATTCAATTGGGTCTCTTCCATTTTATCTTCCAACAACTGGGTTTGCCTCAAAACTTTCCTTTTTTCACTTCTTGATTGGTGGGTTGGTGGTTCTCAATTTGACTCAGTTCATGCAATTGCCTTTTGTTTTGGGGTTTATGGATCCTGGGCAGTGAAAATTTTGAATCTTTCTCATCTGGGTGTCTCTTGGGTAGTGCAAATGCCTTTTATTTCAATTTGTTGCAATTTTCACCTCTTGGGTAGTTAACATTTTTAATCTTTCTCACTTTTCTCTTTGGGGTGGGTTTTGTTGGTAGTTAGATCGGGAGCTTGAAAAAAGGCTTAGAAGAGGTTTTTTTTTTTTAAAAAAAATTAATTTTTTATTTTTTATTTTTATTTTTAATGGATGTCTTGTGTGCTATTAGTTTCTGTTTCTGTGGAGATCCATTTGGGTGATTGTATTTGTATGGGATCTAGTGTATTTTTTTTTCTTTTTCTGAATTTGGATCTGTGGTTGTTTTTATGTAGATATTTACTGGAAGAATGAGCACCGGCTGATGTGTACCTCCGAAGTTTGTACTGCTGCAGAGAGAGATCGATATGAGAAATCTGTAAGTATTTTCTGTGGATGTCAAGATGGCTTAATTAGGGAGTTCATGTTTTGCGTTAGAAATTGTGGTCACTTAGTGTGTTTATATAGTTTTTGATTGTTTTGGTTGATACTGAGAAGGACCATTTCATGATTTGAGGGATACTAGTTTCAAATTTGGAACAATCGTGTGAATATTGGATGAAAATATAATTTTTGAAGCAATTCGCAATAAAGGTTTGTGCAACATGATTCGCATAGTTTGCATGTCGCTAGTATGACGCACCATGGGTTGTAGTATAAAGACAATATTTAACTATCAGATGCTTGGCATTGTTTCAAAGAACTTTTATTATTCTAAATGTTACAAAGTGAAAACAGAAAGCGCCTAGAATCAATTGTTGAGGGTGTTGGAACCCTCTGTATGGATTATCCCCTGTCATTTTTTCCCCTTCAGTTTTACATCTTAGTTACCTATTATTATTATCCTCTTCAATCTTCTTTTCATTCTTGGTCTCACTCTTACCCTCTTTGATTCTTCTATTTTAAATTTCTAGTCCTTTTTGATTATGTACTGCATTGCCTAAGAATCAAAGTTTCAGTATGTTCTTTTCAACGTCCTTACATCTCGTGTTTTTTTGGTCTTGTTTATTTCACATTGTTAGCTCCACGGATTATCCTTTGGTAACACAAATGTCTCCTGTTGCACTTTTTGATTTCCCTTCGCTTTGCCTGAACACTCTAGGGGCACACATTCTTCAATTGCTTTACCATTTTAAATTTAAGCTGTTAGTGGCTAATACCAAAAAATTGCACACTCAAACTTTGTGTTCTTCCTTTTTAATTTAATATATGTTTATTCAATTTTACGTTGTTAAGTGTACAAAATTTAGTTTTAAGTTTTATTAAGCATTTCATCATGCATACTCATCATCAGTCTTGGTTTCTACCTTACAAATTTCAATTACATTATCTAGTAGATTATATTGCATATGGAAGGGGTTTTCCTTGTGGGTAGGTTCTGAAAATTGCTTTTGATGTATGCAATCATATCATGATTGAATATTTGAAATCAGTTTTAATCTTCTTTTTTTCTTTTTTTTTTTTACTCATGCAACGATTTCACTTTGATGGAAAACATAATCACGTATCATTTGTGAAAGCTTCGTATACACTATGCCCACTTCATAAATAAATTTCTTCTTGTGATATTGTTGTTTTGTTGATTATTTTGGAGGTTCCTCCTTTACACCTTAGAAGTATGTCCTTGAATGAATGAATCTTTAGGCTCCTTTCTCCTTTTCAATATGAGAAAGGAGGAGGGAGAAATGAATGGAGGGATTCAGAATAAAAATTAGTTTGTGGTCTGAGTTGAAAAATATTAAAATTATTACATTATTGAGCAAAAGAATTATAAATGCTCTTTTTTATTTTTGCAGATAATAATGATTTTAGGGTTTAGAAACTGAACATATAAGCTGAGCTTTTCCCAGCATTTAGCTAGTGTGATTTCTCTTCAGGCTGAGGACTTGTCTGGCCATGTTTGTTAACAAGTATGAGCCAATAGGATGTTGCTTTGTTTACCATGTAGAATCTAAAGAAACTGAGAGAGAGAGAGGTATGTAGTAATATCATTCTGTATTATGGTTTTTCTGATCTCAACAAAGGAAGAGATCAGTTTATATAGTTTACAGAAAGAGTACAAGAGAAGCTACAGATCCTGCTGATGTGGCACCAGACGATCAGCTAACAGAACAGTGAGAACACATAACAAGCAAAGTAACAAACTCTGCTGACATGTAATAGTAAGAACTTTTAAAATAAATACTAACAGTCGTGTGTCTAAATCAGCTGATACATTGAAAGGATAATCAAGTAAACTTAGCATATTAAAACACACTCATTGACACTCATTGAAAGGATAAAATTTTACTATCTTAATTAAATTGAAAATTTATTGCTTTTTATTCCATTCTTATGATACAATCATCAAATGCAGTAATAGATGATAGCTTTTATTATTAAAAAATTCATCAAGGGATTGAAGTTTGCTATTCTTGAATGGAACAACATTTTTATTAGAAAAAAAAAATAATGGATAAGGTTGGTTTTCTCAAAATGAAATTATCAAATACTTTTGTGATTTAAAAAATTATGTTTCTTGAGAATGGCTATTTTAAGCAATGTGTTAAAACCGGTGTTGTTAAATGGCGATTATGGCCGCGTCATGGCGATATGGCGGCGGCGGCCGCGTTCCGTTATGGCCATTTGGCCTCTGTATGGCGCGGGTCCGCCATTTTGCATATAGCAGCTGTTATGGTGGTAACGACGTGGTGGTTTATGGCGGTCATGGCGCCTGTTTTGGGCTTTTATTCCATTATTCTGGGTTTGGGCTCGAGTTTTTTTTGGGTTTGGGCGTTCCATTTTTTTTTTCCATTTTCCTGAATAGGTTCGCTGAAAAACCCTAACCCTAAAGTTTTGAAACACTGTCTCCTCCGTGTAACGTCAACGATGCACCTCCTCCGACGAGTTCTGTTGCCGCCGCCTCCAACACGACCACCACGCATGTGTGATTCTGCTCCGCTTCTTCTCTCTCCGTGCGCGATTCTCTCCTTCTCCCTCCGCGTGAGATTCTGCTCTGCTCCTTCTCCTTCCGCGTGCGATTCTCTCCTTCTCCCTCCGTGTGCGATTCTCTCCTTCTCCCTCCGCGCCCGATTCTGCACCTTCTCCCTCCCTCACAAAAGGAGAGGGGCAAGTAGGAACATCTACTAATCCTTCTAAAAAAGCCAAAGGAGTGGCTTCAAAGAACAAGGGGAAAAAGGGTTGAAGAAGTTGAGGCATCAGAAGATTTTAGCAGTGAGGAGGAGGAACTAGTGCCAAATGCTAATTTCATACATTCAGATGGAGAAGAAGCTGAAGGATTTTTAAATGAGCAACATCATCATGTGGAAATTAATTATGCAGACATTGATGAGGATGAGGAGGATTAAACAACCCGTTCTGAACGTGAACAATGAATAGTGCTAGTTGGGGAAATAAATTTGCACAGTTGTTATTTAGGTAAAAAAAAATTAAAATAGTATTATTTGAGTAAAAAAATTCTAATAATTATCTTTAAAAATCGGTCGTTCTGAATCCGGAACTGGCCGTTCTGGCCTATAGATACAAACCATTTTTTTTTCCGATTTTCACTTATCAAATACCAAAACTCAAAGACTATCATCAAGTAATTAAATTTATTAAATATTAACATGATAAATATAACTAAATAAATTTACTAAAATTCATTACAACAATAAAGATCAATGGTGGCGGAAACTAAACTCATAACCAATATTTGGATATGTCTTCCTAGTGTGACTAGGGGTGTGACAATAGAAACAATTTTTTACACGATTATGTTATTTTCTAATGTCCATCTTTGTTCTAATCTTGCTGGACTTTGGCCAATTCTTGAAAGTTTTCTTGAGTTCTGGATTTGGCCACAAAGTTGGAAGAAACGCAACATTTGAGAGAAGTTTGACCCGCTAGAAAATTTACAATAAGGCTAAATGAAATGTGGTATGATTGCGAAAAGTTCCAAAGTTCATATCCCTTGTTCGCATGATCACCCGTTGGAAGATTTACAGAGGCTAAATATAATGTGGTATGATTGCAGCAAGTTCCAGAAAGTTCATATTCATTGCTCGCATGTACTCACTTCATGCTTACATGCACATCACGACTATCAAACCTACATATCCCTGTTTTAATCCTGCTGGACTTTGGTCGACCCTTGAAAGTTCTCTTGAACTCTGGATTTTGCCACAAAGTTGGACTAGTGTAAGTAGGCCAATAATCTTCATGTCGGAGCTCTCCAAACGGTCCTTCGTATACCTTTGCAACTTATTGTAAGGTATATATGGGGGATATGTAGGTTTGATAGTCGTGATGTGCATGTAAGCATGAAGTGAGTACATGCGAGCAATGAATATGAACTTTCTGGAACTTGCTGCAATCATACCACATTATATTTAGCCTCTGTAAATCTTCCAACGGGTGATCATGCGAACAAGGGATATGAACTTTGGAACTTTTCGCAATCATACCACATTTCATTTAGCCTTATTGTAAATTTTCTAGCGGGTCAAACTTCTCTCAAATGTTGCGTTTCTTCCAACTTTGTGGCCAAATCCAGAACTCAAGAAAACTTTCAAGAATTGGCCAAAGTCCAGCAAGATTAGAACAAAGATGGACATTAGAAAATAACATAATCGTGTAAAAAATTGTTTCTATTGTCACACCCCTAGTCACACTAGGAAGACATATCCAAATATTGGTTATGAGTTTAGTTTCCGCCACCATTGATCTTTATTGTTGTAATGAATTTTAGTAAATTTATTTAGTTATATTTATCATGTTAATATTTAATAAATTTAATTACTTGATGATAGTCTTTGAGTTTTGGTATTTGATAAGTGAAAATCGGAAAAAAAAATGGTTTGTATCTATAGGCCAGAACGGCCAGTTCCGGATTCAGAACGACCCATTTTGGTTCCACTTTTTATGTTCTAATTTTGAATTTGGAACGACCCATTTTAATCCATTAACCATGTGTTATTTTTTAATCTGGAACGGCCCGTTCTGAACGTGAACAATGAATAGTGCTAGTTGGGGAAATAAATTTGCACAGTTGTTATTTAGGTAAAAAAAAATTAAAATAGTATTATTTGAGTAAAAAAATTCTAATAATTATCTTTAAAAATCATATAAAAATGATTTTGAATTGATTGAAAATTTTATTCTGTTTTTGCATCATATTATATATATATATATATATATTTTGTCCACCATGATGTCTGTCATAGACCGCCATGGCGTCTGCCATGGCAGTATGGCACTTAAAGGTCCTTGCCGCTATCCACCGTATAACCTTACTAACAACTTTGGTTAAAACTGCACCAAACCAGCTGACAGATTACAAATTGGCTGTGTTGGTTTGAATATTATCTCATTCAATAAAAATTTAACTGGTTGAACCAATGAAATCATAGCTTGATGGTTAGGTTCAATTTTTATAACATTAGTTTTAAGGTTCCTACCTATAGTTATTAAACTCAGATTGACTAGGTCAAAGAATTAGATCAATGGGTCATTGGTTCGTTTGATGTGATGACTAATGATTCATTGATCAATCCACATATATATAATAAAATATATACATACATAGTTAATACAATAAAAAGTTACGTAGAAATTGGGACATGTGCCAATTACATGTTCAAAACATAAGTTGGTTAGCTAAACCTGAATATTGACTCATCTTTATAATGACAAAACAAGCTTTACCAAATTCCAGAGTCCAGAAATCTCTGAAGTATAGTAGGAATTGTTAGTGTTTTAATGTACAACATGTCATCTTATTAACTGAAGATTAAGCGAAGAAGAATGTCATGTAATCTTGGTTTGGTGGTAATGTGATTCAGAATGCAGAAGACAAGTTGAGATATAGCAATATATATATATTCCATGACATATGCAAAGTAAATTAAATGAGTATATATTGTGAGCCACTATGTGAAGATTAACTTTTTATATCCCCAGTATGCTATTTGTCATTGACTTTAGGATCACAATCTGAATCTCTACTTCTAATACCATCTTAAATTATTACTATCAGCACTCTTGTAAGGTTGTGAGATTGTGAACTGTGATGTGAGTAGATTAAAGTTTTGCTTGATACCAATGCATGCCTTAGTTTTTAAGGGAAAAAATACAGAATATTTTTTCTTATTGGGCCAACGTATGTTTTCTATATTGTTTGAACACCAGTATTCTTGGATGAGATGTTTCTGGTCATGATTTCAATAACATGATAAAGTCTCATATGTGATTTCTTCCATCTCTTACATATAATTGTCATGTTGTAGATATGTTAGGCACATAAAATATAGCTAATGATGATTTGGAAATGCTTTTTTATTAAGCTTTCAGCCTCTTCTTTCCCAAATGATTCTTGACCTTTGAAATTTATTTAGCATACACCTGACTATTGGTTTGAAATTTGAATTTTGTGGTTTGGGTTCTTTTGTCTAAGTTGGACTAACAACATCAGGCTGCATGACTTATGCACGAGCTCCCTTTAGTTCTACTTTATTTGAAAACACGCATTGATCATTTATTGGTGTTACTCAGATATACAAAGCTCAGAGGAATGTTATACTGTGTGTTGCAGCATGTCTTCTCTACTGGTAAAGTAACAACTTTAAATTGGAATCTCTGTTCTTTGGTAATAGAATGAACTTAGCCCTAACAAAAAATGGCTTAAATTATATATGTTTATTCCCTCAAATATGAGGTAAATTTGTTAGTAGTCCGTCAAATTTAAAATTGAATTATTTAGTCCTGTAATTTGAAAAAAAAAAAAAAGTCTTCTTCTCAAATATTATTTGTGAAGAATTTGTCAAATAAATCTCACCTATTATTGAATTTGTTTGCACAAAATTCACTTTCTAATATGTTTGTTAGTAAAACATGAAGTTAAATTCATCTAATACTACATATTTATCTCAATCTGTCACGATCAATAATGTTGTTGGTGGTTGTGAAAACAAGAATATTTATAATTTTAGAGACTAAAAAGATCAATTTTCATTGAGAAACCAAAACAAATTTTCTTTAAATTTAAGAGACTAAAAACATATTTAAGTTAAAAAAATTACAAGTACTTATAAGAGAAGAAACTACTAAGATAAAATGATTTGATTTTATGTCATGGGAAAATTTTAATTCATTGTTTTATTTATTTAATTTTTCTATAGAAAAGTTTATCCAAATAGAAGCTTAGTTATCTGTTTTGCATTATAACTCAACATTGACGACTGCATATGGATGTGGTGACAGGTCTATCAGCCGTATTTGCAAGTATCAGAAGGATATCCAGAGTCTGGAGGAAGTGGAGAAGAGATACAATGACAAGTCCCAGTAGCTTCTGTTTTTAGTTAAAAATCCCATACTATCATGGTTAGTGGAGCAGAGCCTCGAGGCAACTTTAGTTGAGTCTAGTATGGACATGCCAACATGATGTACCGAATTATAGTGTGTGATATACTCAGTCATGTGATTCAGCTCTACATTTCAAATTCCAATCTTTTTTCTATTCTGCTGTTTCTTGACTTTTATGTTGTTTAATGGCTAGTTTAGCCTAATCAGTGAAATATTTTACTTTTAGCTTCTTTTTTTTTTTTACTTACCAACTTTTATTATAAAAAAAGGCCAAACCAACCAACCAACCGAGTTAGGTTCTTGATAATATTTTCCTAAATTAAAACAACTGAGTTATTAACAATATTTAGCTGCATTTGGAGAGTCATGTCTAGATAGACTCACGTTTAATTTTCGCTAGAAGGCAAAAGCTACTGTCAATAACTTTTGGTTTCACATCTTTTACGTGAGTCTAAGAGCATTCTATGCTGAATCAAACACGTAAAAGTTGTTACTATGTTGACATGATTAATTAATTGTTCATTTTGCACCAAGAACAGTGTTAACAACACAAGCTTTTAACATACCTATTTTTATTGCTAAAATTTAATGAAAGTTATAAAATTAGGAGAGTTATTAAAAAATCATTTTATAAATGCGATTTCTAGAATGCTTTAAATTCTTTTTCTCAAAATTTTATATCAAATTGTAACCCTAGAAAATAGTGAAAGTGGCAGTCAATTAAATCATCAAATAAAAGGTAGCACGCGTGGTTGAAAATCTGGTAAATGAAGTTGTAGAGAGTGATAGAACAAACTAAACGGCAATTTTTTCAAACGTGTCGGTGGAATATTTTCAACTGTGGACTTTATCTTATTAGGCCTGCAAAACCTAATGAGGTGTAATGGTTACTTTATTCATAAGCAAGTTTTATTTTCTAAGTCATACGCGTACTAGTTTCATTGAACAATATATTTAATGCAATACGTTTCGCTGTCTAAATTTAAATTATAAAGTTAATCTGATTATTCAAATTCATATTTTATGTTGCATTCAGGAATTTCTACATGGTTGATGTAATTTTGTGTTCTAGAGCATCTCTGGGTGGGGTTTCACTGCCTATTCTACAGTCTGAATTCAAACAAATGTTCCCATTTGTACATTATTTCTGTGTTTCCACCAAAATTTGCTTTTATACCTTGGTGCCATCTTTTGTTACATCACATGATTCACATTCTCAATCCTCCAAAGTCTTGTGAATAGTAAAAATGTTTTCAAATTAAGTAGTACTATCCACACTAGTCTTGGCCTTACAACTAAGCCAACTCCTGCATTCTTGTGCTTAATTATTTAGGATTAATAATGATTTAATTCTCGTAAAAATCAACAAATTTATGGTATATAGTTATATGTGATTGAAAGATAATGTAATACTATCTTCAATCTTAATTATAAATAACATAGGATAAATTATCAATATCAAGAAAAATAATTAATATGCCATAAATTCAAATTTTATTTCAAATATATATTTATTTTAAGTGATTATCAATATTTAATATTAATTATAAGTAAATGAATAAGAAATAGAGTTAACAATAAATAAAAAATATAAAATAAATTTAACTCCAAGTAGCTCTAAAAACTAATAACTATTACTTATAATTAGGACTAATGAAAAATCTACATTGTTGTTTACAATTAGGACTAACAGTAGTATTGTTGTATATAGTTAATACATAATTTTTTTTATGATTAAAAAAGGTACTTTTTTTGAACTTATATATAAGAAAAATGTTTTAATTTTTTAGGCTAAAATATAAACAAATTTTATTGAATTCAATTTTATTTAATCCTCTTAATCCAAAAACAACTATGATATATCTACCATGACTAAAATGTGATATATATAGAGTTAATCATTTATATACTGTTGGTGTAAAGTTTTTTACACTGACAACCAATCATATCTTTTATTTCATTAAATAAGCAAGTGACATGACAATATTAAAAGATATGATTGGTTGCCAGTGTAAAACTATTTTACACTAACAGTGTATAAATGATTAACTTATATATATATATAGATAGATAGATTACTACATCTAGGGAGCATATCAAGTGAGAGAGAGTTTATTATGAGAGATGAGAGGGTTAAAATACAACCCTTAGATTAATCAAGTGAGAGAAAATTTGGAGTTTAATCAAGTGAGAGGAAATTAATCTAAGGATTATATTTTAACCATCTCATCTCTCATAATAAATTCCCTCTCACTTGATATGCTCCCACTACATCTAAGTTTTTTTTATCATTTATTTTATTTGCATTTATGTTAGTGTGATCCGAGTGGATGTAAATGCTTAATGGGCTAGGATTAATGATATCATTAATGAATAAGACTTGTGGAGTTTGAAACTCAAACATGAAAATGTAACCCGTAAAAGAATGCAGCAAGACTTTGGATGAAACATTTAGGACTCACTTTCAAGTAATGACATTTCCGATGAATTGAAATCATCCCATGAAAATGACCTCCCATTGGTTTCAAGTTTTGCATTAATGTATGTATAAATAACCTTCTCTAAAGTCTAAAAAAATATCAAGTTTTTTTTTCAAAAATTAAAATTAAATCATACGTAAATTAAGATTAAATATGTTTTTACTTTCTAAATTTTTACCATTTTTTTGTTAGTTTTTAAATAAATTTTATTTAGTTTTGGTTCTTAATATTTTTTTTCAATGAACAAAAAATCCTTGATGTTGGGGACCAAAAATATTCGACAAGAAGAAATTTTCAACAATTAAACGAAAAATGATAAAAGTTTCAGGAACTAAAACTAATAAAAGAAATTACTAATTCTATAAACTAATTTGTAGAAATGATCCAATATTATTTTTTCTAAAATATGTCTTTTAATTCATGTATAGCTTATAGAAAAATTGATTTTATTTTCTCCTAAAGTGATTATGAAATTTTTTATCCAAACATACCCAAAAGCAATTTTCATACGGGTCTTAAGAGAGTTCAACTTAAATGGCTGTACCAACCTTGCATCTCTTGTGAATGTAAACGATGAACATCAATAATTGCTTGCTCCTTTTAAGAGGCACATGAGAATTTTATTTTTCTCTTTCAAAATAAAGTTGCCTGTAAAACTCCTACATTTGTTTCTAACTAACTGAGGTAAAGTCATCATCGTTGTGCAGCGTAGTAAGAAAAATGGCACAGAAGAATTTTTTAAACAATGAGTTTACATGCTTTTGACTCGTGAATCGACCAATAATTCCTTTCACTTTATTACATGATCTGAGTTATCCTTGAATCTAGTTGAATTCTGTGAAAATTCTGAATGTTTTTTCTTCAAGTTATGTAGCATTTATTAAAATGGAGTATTTGTATCATTGTTTTAAATTTTATGAGAGAATAACGAGTGATGGTGAAGCGGAAAGAGTTACAATTAAAAGTGTTTGAGTGAACATTTATAAAATTGATTTTGAAGCGAAATGATTTATGTTTGTATATATGTTTTGATTTTGAAGTAAGCTGATTTATTTAAACATTTTGACCCTTAAAGTAACTTTAATGTAAAACTTAGTGTAGATTTTTCAACTTAACCCAATTTTTTATTTATCACTTTTTATCAAAACAAGATTTGGAGTAAATAAAATCACTTTTAATTTTTATTTATTTATCAATTTTACTTCACAACAGTCAAACTTTTATATCTTAAATAAAATCACGTTTGAGAGGAAATCCTAATAATACACTTAATCCAATTTTTTTTTATATTATTGTTAACTTTCACTAAGCTGAAATAATCAACTTTTTTCTTCTTCTTTTCTTTTAATTCAGATCATGTAAAAGTATTCATTATCATAGAATAAATAAAGTACAGGCACAAATTGTTCTAAGATACCAAAATGTCATTCTCACACGTATTGAAATATACAAAAAGAATGAAATCCTACTTGTTCCCTAGCTATCTATTTGCAGAGATCCATTGGACTGGCCAAAAAAATGTACACATAATGCAGCACAAAACTTCTAATCAATTAATTGAAAAACAATAAAGTTAAAATGATCTCTTAACATTCTTGTAATCTGAGTCTATGCATTCCAATTCAGCCCTATAAGGATTCAACAATTTGAGAAGCTCAGTTGCTTTTTCCTTGGTCTCATCACCACATCCAACTTGCAACACCAACAAGAGTTTCTGAAATGCACCAACTTGAAGGGCCTCAACAAGGGTCCTCCCTTCATCTTTTTCTCCAAACTTGCACAGCTTCCATATGGCAGAAACAGAATGTTCTGTGGTCAATGGTGAAACTCTCAGAATTTTCTTCACCAAAAGAGGAATTGTGAGGTCATTCCCACACGCCTTGTTTCTCCCTTCTTCAATGCTGCATAGAGAGTCCAAAATGGCCAAAGCCTTCTCACACATGCTCTTGTCAGAGTCAATGAGAATGTCAAGCAAAGAAGAAACCAAACCCAATTCAACAAAACGTAACTTGATCCTCTCACTTGAATTGGAAGAGGAGGAAACCAAGTACCAAACCACCCTCAATGATGACTTTGTGATGGTTGGACTAACCCTCTTGTTGATGAACTCCACCAAAAGCTCATTGACCCCTTCAATTTGTGACAGGGCCTCCACATGGTGCTCATCACCAAAGGAAAGAAGCTCTTTCAATGCCACAATGGACTTCTCTTTCCCTGAGAGATC